GACATCTGAGCGTCATCCAGCATGGATGTCCTCAGCCCAGAGATGAAATGCTCATCCTTCATGTGGCCATTTCCCAAGAGCCCAGGAAAGCCATCGGTCTTCCCTTATCCTTTACCAGTTCACATTTCCAGCATTTTCTAGGAGAGATTGAAGGGCAACCCTGTCTAGGCTGAAGAGTAGATTACCAAAAAACCCCAAAACACATTTTGCAGGGCCTGAGTCCAGCCAACATGGTTCAATGCATTAAAAGTCACATATTTCAATAGAAACACTTAAAAAAATCATAACCACGGTGAATATGACTGAGAAACTCTCAGATAAAACAACTGGAGAGGAAAAGTGAATCTGATTTTTTTTTTTTTTAAGCAGAAGCAAATACAAGGACAAAGATAATGAGCTGTAAATAAGACAACAGGATGATCTTGGGAGTTATTAGTAAAGAATACACATAAGGACACTTCCCCCCCCCCTACCCGAGTGATTGAACTGTGTACTGTACTTTCATCTACTGTCTGATAATATGAATTATCATTTCCTACCAGCCTCTCCCTGCCGCTCATGCTTTGTGCGGCACGCTCACGGGGAATCCTTAGGAGTCCATCGTGTGCTGCGCATGTGCTGTGGAGGGGAAGCCTTTTTTAACTTTTCCACTAGGAAGAGGAAAAACAGACGATCCTAGTGTGAGTTATAACTCCAAAGGACTTTCATTGTATTTCTGAAAGGCAGATCTCCAGTAGCGACCTCAGTACAGAGCTGTTGTTATGTATGTAGACAGGGTAGAGGAAGGAAGTCAAAGCAGATTAATAATTTACTCCTGCCTCAGAGCTGTTTAGTCACACTAAATCAGCAAAAGCATTCAAAATAAAAACATCGCAATATTGCAGGCATTGCCAAATTACAAAGGAGTTGCCTCTGCCAGCAGGAAAGTGCTTCTCTAGTTGATCCATAAGGTCATTCGCGCCCATGCAGAGATGCAACCATCAACCCCGCCTGCATGGTAGCGCTGGGCCCTCAGCAGGGATGGCAGAACCGAATATTTGCTGGTGCTTTTGCTGCTGCCACAAACGCATCCTCGCCAGCAGAGCCAAGCAAACGTCACAGGGCAGAAAACGGGGGCCATGTTGGTGCCGGTTCCCATTCCCTCCTGCCAGCCCCGCAAGAGGGGCAGTAGGACAAGGACAGACAGCCGGGCACGCTAGTGGCAAAATCGAGAGTGGCATGTAAAAGGTGAATGGGAAATGGTTATTCACTGCCTCTTGTAACACAAGAAATTGGGTATAAAGCAAAGTCATCAGACAGGCTCCAAACAAACAAGAGGCACTTCATAGTGTGCAGCTGAGCCTTGGGTCTCCTTGCTGCAAGACTTTCAGGTGCTGGAAGCCTATTTGAGCTCAAATGGAAGTTATATTAAAGAAAGAAAAATCCAAGGCTGCCACCTTGGTCATAAAATCTCTGAGCCACAACTTGTATGAGGCTTGGGCAATGCCACATCTGCTTGTGCCATTCTGATTCCTCCCAGGCACGCACTTACATCCACCACTGGAACCCAAACAGTGGGGCTCAGTGGACCTTGCTCTGTAACAGAGCGATTACTCTGGATCCAAATGCTTTTCATGCAGGAGGACCCGGAGGACCACTGTCAGCTCTCCTGCTCTACAGTTCAGACACGAGATTGAGAGTCCACCCCCCTTTTCCACACCAGGACCTGGCATTGTCCACCCATTTTGCCATGTCCCTGTTGCTCTGCGCAGCAGCTGCCGAGATGTAGGGAGATCCTGGGGGAAGGCTGGAGCCAGGGAGTGGGCAGGGAGCTCCTGACTGCCAGAGCTGGCACTTGGCCTCCTGTTATTCATCTTCCCCCGAGCTCAGCCTCAGGGGATGCAGCCCCAGCAGATGCCTAACCTGATCCCACACAAGCTAGTGCCGGGCAAGGGGAACAGGGCCGGCTTCTGCAGTCACCTGCTTCCTGCTGCTGCTGCTAGAGCTGGTTCTGCCAGGGCTGCAGGGGGGG